GACACATCAGTTTTGGGTCATTTCATACCAAAAGACACTAAAGTTTTAGCCAATATATGGGCCGTTCATAACGACCCCAAAGTATGGCATAAACCGCAAGACTTTAATCCGAATCGATTCCTCACAAATGATGGCAAACAAGTGATTAAAACAGAGGCTTTGATACCATTCTCTACGGGTTTGTTATGGAGTTGTTTTAATACAGTATAAAAATTAAAGAATATTCTGTATATTATTTGATTGATAGGTAAACGCAATTGTGTTGGCGAGACATTAGGACGAGTGGAGGTATTCCTGTATTTTGTATCACTTCTGCAAAGATATACAATAAGTGTAGCAAATGATGGGACAGTTGTGTCATTAGAGGAGAGATTCGGGTTAACACTACAGCCCAAGGATGCGGTTGTCCTTAGGTTTCATAAACGGGTCTAAATTACGACTAAAAAATATGAAATACAAATAAATATAATAAAATATATGTTATTTAATCTCTGTTTTTATAAGACTTATATATGATAAGGGTTCATTTGTTATCACACTAAACTGAATGTAATAACATTTTTATGATAAACTCTACAATTTATCAATGCATAAGACTATTAATGACAAGAGTATACTGTACTGTATACAGGGAATTACTGTATACTTAATATAAAACAAATATAAATTATTATCAAGTAGTAATACTGGTACCACTACTAGTGTGACCAGATATTTTTTCAATATTTTGTTTAAAACTGGACAATTGTATGAAAAGAGACAATATTAGAATTAATCCAAGTTTTAAAAATGGACAATGCTATCCATTACATTGTAATAGATCAATTACAAAACTGGACACTATGTGCAAAAACTGTTCAATCCAGCCCAAAGCTGGACGTCTGGTCACACTAACCACTACAACAATTCCTTATATTAAAATGAAAACTTGTACATCATTAATAATAACTCATTATTACTATTTGGCAATATAATCAGATCAGTACATAAGCAAATAATGGCAAACAAAAATTGATAATCTTATTACAAAAGTCTAATACATTTGATTGCTACTAATACTGTAAAAAAATGTACAAATGTACCACCTCAATGTACTTAATCAATCGACCCAGGTTCATGTTATGATAACAGTTCATATATTCTGACATACAGTACAATATTATGTGAGATAAGAGTTTGCAAATTCCTTAACAGAATTCATATATATATACCGTATATATATTCATAAGAAAATTACTTACTTACATATCTCTCAAAAGTTGTTTATTTCATATTATTAAACGTTTAATTTTATGTGTTAACAATTAAAATATGTTATTCACGCAATCGTTGTTTAGTTACGTGCTAGAGAATGCCTTGTATGTTACACTGTTCATATTATTTGTCAAGTTTGTCAGTCATATATGGGGTAATATCAGGGAGAGAATGATTTTACCGGCCGGACCGGTAGGCCTACCAGTGGTCGGGTATTCACCATTCCTGGGCAAACACCCCCACAAAGTTATAACCAAATTGGGTGTCAAATATGGATCTGTTTTCACGTAAGTTTGCATTAATCATTCAAAATATTAAAAGATTTTGTATTTACAATAAAATTATTAATATACAGATAATATATCTGTAAATATCTATGTTATTTAGTTAACTATAATGAAATAATAAAATTAGTAATAACGAGGTAAATTTAATATAAAAAGTTTTAATATTAAATAATGCTTAAGCATATAGGGAAGTATGTTTTATTAATAACTTATTATGAATAAAAAATAAAAAATTTATTTTTTAAGTATTATACATTAGTTAGAATATTTTTATAGATTACAATTGGGAGTAAATAATGTGGTGGTCCTTAACGATTGGGAGGCTGTGAGGGATGCCCTCAATAAGGATGCCTTCTTAGGGCGACCCTTTCACAGTCCATTCACTGCACTCAACAAAACTATAGGTAATTTATTTTGAAAAATATATATATGTTTTTAAACAATAAAATTATTATGAATTATAAATAGGTTTGGTTGACGCGAGCGGAGACGTATGGAGAGATCAACGGAGGTCTGCCCTACAAGTGCTCCGAGACTTAGGCTTCGGGAAGGGCTCTATGGAGGACAGGATTACCGATGAGATCAGTTATCTCACGAAACATATCGATGAGACTAATGGTGAGCCCATGGATATCCACGAAGTACTGGTGCCGAGTATGTCCAACAATATCTGTCATCTGGTGTTTGGCCACCGAATGGACTTCAATGAACCCAAGAGACAGCTATTTGACAAACAGTTAGACCAGTCGTCAGCCAATATCTCAACTATAGGAGTGCTGGCGATGTCCCCCATTTGGTTCAGTAAATTGTTTTTTAAGCTAGGTGGTGCTATCAATAAAAAGGTTGTCAATAAAGTAACCAGCATTTTTGAGTAAGAAATTTCACCAATTAATATATCCTTTATAACAAGTATATGATATTTTCAATTTAAAATTAATATACACCTGAATGGATAGGTCGGAGATATCGTCGCACCGGAAGTCTTTGGACACCAATAATAAGAGGGATTATATCGACGGATACTTAGCGGAGATGGAAGTGAGACAACGAAAGGATCCCAACACTCACTTCACCCGTCAGTCCATACATCCTGTCATTGATTAATGGATTTAATAATAATGAATAAAATATTAAATTAATTGTATTTTTAGTGAATCGATTGCATGTAAATTGTCGGGCATTTTTCGGGGCCGGTAGTGGGACTGTGCGGACGACCACCGAATGGTTGCTATTATTGTCCGCCAAATACAGCGAACACCAGAAGAGGGTTCACGAAGAGATCGATTCTGTGGTCGGAAGAGATCGGAGTCCCTGTTATGCCGACAGACTTCATATGCCGTTCACTCAGGCATTCATTTGCGAGTTGTTTCGATACAAAACTATAATTCCCTTAAATTTGATGAGACGGTATGCTTAGAAATTTATTATTATTTATTAAATTTTATATTATATTGNGACAGACTTCATATGCCGTTCACTCAGGCATTCATTTGCGAGTTGTTTCGATACAAAACTATAATTCCCTTAAATTTGATGAGACGGTATGCTTAGAAATTTATTATTATTTATTAAATTTTATATTATATTGCTTTTGAAGTTATAAAATACAATAATCATATATTTAATTGCTTTTTATAATAACAGCACAACGGAGGACACATCAGTTTTGGGTCATTTCATACCAAAAGACACTACAGTTATGGCCAATATATGGGCCGTTCATAACGATCCCAAAGTATGGCATAAACCGCAAGACTTTAATCCGAATCGATTCCTATCAAGTGATGGCAAACAAGTGCTTAAAAACGAGGCTTTAATACCATTCTCTACGGGTTTGTTAAGAATATATATTAGTTTTAATTATAATTTAAAGAATATTCTGTATATGTATTGACCGATAGGTAAACGCAATTGTGTTGGCGAGACGTTAGGACGAGTGGAGGTATTCCTGTATTTCGTATCACTTCTGCAAAAATATACAATAAATGCAGCAAATGATGAGGTAATGGCTTTGGAGGAAAAGTTTGGGATATCACTGGAACCCAAACACAAACCAATTCTTATGTTTAAGAAACGTGTCTAGGTTATTATTATCATCTATACTTGAAGACATGTAATACAAACTAAACTCACTTTTTGTTGAAATTAATTTAAAATTCAAAAAGTTGTCTCAAAACATAGTTTACAAATAATTTCTAATGTTCAATAAATTAAAATGATTTGAGTTCATATTTTGCTCGTATATAAATATAAATATGCCTTGCATCATATACCTAGTGTGTCAGGTTTAATATTTCAAATACTGTATTTATTAAAATTATATACTGTAATTTTCATTAGTTTTAAAAATATTGTTTCTAATACAGTATGTCAAAAAACATAATATGTCATGATACATTTTTATAACTTCAATTTAAACAAATTCTATTTATAATAAAATTAGAAATTCAGAAAATTATTTTTTTTATTGGTGAATTGAATTGTTTTATATAATTATCAGTGATTTTCTGTTAAATACTGATTATATGGTAAAAGTGTACTTTAATCTTTACTTAAGACAATATTATTACAATTTTACACCCTTTACCTAACAAACATTATTTATATTACTTGCATATTAGTTATAAAAGTGCACTACAATTAGTGTTGCCAACACTTTTTTCGAGATTGGAGGACAGAAAGGAAATTTTAACATATTTCTGGAGGAGAATTGGAGGACAAAAATTAACTTAATATTTTAAATATTAGTTTTACCTTCATTTAATTTAACAATATTTTTGATCAATCTTAATCAATTTATCTGATATTTAGTGATTTTCTTAAGGGAATTTATATTATAAACATAATTAAAACTATGTGCTGCTATAATTTCCAACATATAGATTTCAAAAATTATAATCCTCTAAAATTACATGAAGATTTTAATTGAACTTTAAATTAAATTTAAACAATTGTAAGAATCTAGACAGCTAATTATATTATTAAATAATTTTATAAATTATAAAATTATTTAGACGAATAAAACCTATACTGGTAGAATTTTAGTCAATTTGATAGTAATAAGTAATTAATACTTTTTATTATTAAATTTTATAAAATTGCTGTTATCTATTGAAAAAAATATATATGCATTCAATAATTTTATAATCTATGAAAAATAATTGCATTATTTCAAAAATATGTGTTTAAGGTAAGCAATATATTTAGGATTACAAATAAAGTTTTAATGAATTTAAGTAAATTATTGTGGAGGACGTTACATTGTCCTCCACGACCCTTCTGGAGGACTGTTCCCCTTCGGGCCGATTGGAGGAGAATCCTCCAGAGTGGAGGAGGTTTGGCAACGCTATATATGTATGATGTCAAAATATTTTATCATCCATTCATGTAAAATAAAAAATAATATTTTATTGTTATATTGTATTTCATTTAATGAAAATAAATAATTAGTTTTTCAATATGTTACTTTTGTTGATATGAGACAGGCACAAAATGATGACATGAACTTTGCTTATATATGGTTGCATAGCATTGAAAGTAATATTAACTTTTGTACTACTCATAGAGTTCATGTCATCCTATGGTATGTGCCTGTCTCATATATTAAATAATAGTAATTTGTAAAAAAAATTTATAACTAGAGTAAAAAATATATACTGTAGAATCATAATAAATAAAATTTAATTAATTGCATTAATTAAATAATTATTAAATTTAATAATATTGTTAATAATTATAATTATTACAAATAATTCAATAAATTAAAGATTTAAAAAATGTATAAAGATTATTTATTAAACCAATTAATAAACGAATATTTTGTTATATTTAATTTTCAATGTAATATATTTATGTAATTCATTTTAAATTAAAAATTGAAAAAACAATACATCGAGAATAAAGGTAAAGGTAATCATGATCATTTTATGTAATTTTTATTAAAATGTCACTGGTACCTTTTAACAGAAAAATGGCCAAAATATTGAGCAAATAAAGTTTGGATATAATGTGTTGAGCAATGGGTCCATAGATTGCTGCCACACCTCATACCCCAAGTCATTGAGGTGTACGCCGTCCGAGATATACAGGTTTAGGTTCTGGGTTTGGTTACTGTCCAAGAAGTGTGACCACATGTCCAGAAAGTAGACATTCCTGTCATTAGCCAGATTACTAATCAACGCTGTATGTTCCTGTAGCTTTTCATTAAGCCCGGGTACGGATGCCGGTATGTTGCCCAACAAAATGATCTTGGTCGTAGGCATTTTAGCCAATAACTCATTGACAATCTCCTGGGTGCCATGGGCCACATCAGCCACCGTATCGTTTGTGTGCCAAAAGTTATTACCACCTTGATAGAGTTTGATGGTAAATTAAAAATTAATACTAATATTAAAATTACGTTGAATAAACCTTATACTGTATT